AAAATATACAAGCTACTGAAGTTGTAACCTTAACTTTGCAGGTAGATTTCAATGAAACACTTTCTAATTAATCAGTTCTGATATTTCTAGCACAAACCACTATGATTCAAAACTATGTTAGGATATCATCCTGGCTAGTATCACATCAAGTGATACTAATTATATTCTGTCAAAGGCTTACAAACTTCCACCACCCATATTCCAGCAAGATAATAACCTCTTTGTCACTAAATAACAAGGGAAATCTGCAAGGTCTATTTCACCAAATTACAGATTGTGGAAGTTTGTTGATCTAACTGCAGAGGCCATTGCATCATCTGGTGTATATAAATATGCTAACTTTGATAAGTAACTGTGGGCTTACTTCTACTTAATACAAATTACTTTACATACCTAATACCATTAGTTATTAGTTATCTATGACATTAAATCACTTGTTTTATCAAATGTTCAGAACAGGACTGCATGAAGCAATGCTATGACCTCCATCCACCAAGATTCAGGAAAGGCCAATAACCTTCTCACAAACATTTAGCTAGATAAGGCTGGACTAGCTCTTTAGGTGAATATAAATAATTAGTGAGGATAATAAACTCTACCCTGAATATACATGTGGAAGTTCAATTGCCTTGCTGAATATATCCAGTGACAGTGTTAGGGGCCTTAATAAGGGATTGTGGTCTTACCCTTATTTTATGCACTTTTTAATCCTAGCAGTATTTGGTATTCTCTGTGCAATTCTATTTCACACATTTATACAACACTTTCTAGCCAAATTTTTGGTCATAACTATACTGGCTGTGATCTATCCAAATAAATTTCAAAATAAACATTTCTTCACAATCAACAATATAACAAAAGAGAACATCTAGAGTATGACACAGAAAAAGAAAAAAATAAATAAATGAAAAGAAAGCTCATCTGGTACAACATATCTGGCAGACTTACCTTGCATAGTCCATTCTGTCTACCAGTAATGGAAGCAAGGTTGAAAAGGCAGAGGGAGGAAGCCTGTGATAACTTGTGGGGTTCTTGAAGTATATTTCTCTGGGACCATTTTAATCTGATATCTACTCACAAGTCATTTGTTCGTATTTCATTTCAAAGCCACAGTTTCTGGATCTTTTCACTGTCATCAACCCAGGGATAGCAGTTCAATCGGAAGGTAGTCCCATGTGTCCAAAACTGGGCCAAATTTGGTCTTACTTAGGCACCACTACAACAACTGCTGTTTTTATACTATAATAATTTTCATGGAGTTGTTAAATATCTGCTTATGAAAATATATAAGCTACTGAAGTTGTAACCTTAACTTTGCAGGTAGATTTCAATGAAACACTTTCTAATTAATCAGTTCTGATATTTCTAGCACAAACCACTATGATTCAAAACTATGTTAAGATATCATCCTGGCTAGTATCACATCAAGTGATACTAATTATATTCTGTCAAAGGCTTACAAACTTCCACCACCCATATTCCAGCAAGATAATAACCTCTTTGTCACTAAATAACAAGGGAAATCTGCAAGGTCTATTTCACCAAATTACAGATTGTGGAAGTTTGTTGATCTAACTGCAGAGGCCATTGCATCATCTGGTGTATATAAATATGCTAACTTTGATAAGTAACTGTGGGCTTATTTCTACTTAATACAAATTACTTTACATACCTAATACCATTAGTTATTAGTTATCTATGACATTAAATCACTTGTTTTATCAAATGTTCAGAACAGGACTGCATGAAGCAATGCTATGACCTCCATCCACCAAGATCCAGGAAAGGCCAATAACCTTCCCACAAACATTTAGCTAGATAAGGCTGGACTAGCTCTTTAGGTGAATATAAATAATTAGTGAGGACAATAAACTCTACCTTGAATATACATGTGGAAGTTCAATTGCCTTGCTGAATATATCCAGTGACAGTGTTAGGGGCCTTAATAAGTGATTGTGGTCTTACCCTTATTTTATGCACTTTTTAATCCTAGCAGTATTTGGTATTCTCTGTGCAATTCTATTTCACACATTTATACAACACTTTCTAGCCAAATTTTTGGTCATAACTATACTGGCTGTGATCTATCCAAATAAATTTCAAACATACCCAAAGACCTACAATCTTATATCTAACCCAATATCCGTCAAACAATCTTCAAGACATTTACCATAATGTCTTGAAGACATTATAAAAATAACAATAATATTTTAAAAAGTAATTCTTAAAAAGAACAAAGATCAACAGCAATAGATCTCAAAAATAACCTGCAGAAACTATAGGCAAGGCCACAATCACTTCTCATACTCAATGAACTATGCTGCAGGTAAGTCCACTGCCTTCACTCCTCAGCACCTTCCACATGGCGAGGGCAAATAGATCACCACCCTTCAAATTTCAAGCATGGTAAGAGCTTGTTAACCTGACTAAAGATTTACAATCAAACAACGAACCAATTTAAACTTTATCTTGCTACTTAACATAAGAGACTGCAATTTGT